CAATCTTTGGGATTCGCGGTGCGAAACAGCTGAACGATGACAGACATTCTCAACATCGGTGACGAACCTATCTTTGACGATCGTATCGTCAAGATCGAGACTCACACGCACAACCCGTTCGCCAATACAACGTTCGGACACAATGACGAGATAAGAATACCCATACAACAACAGGATCTGTATACGCTGCCGCATGAGAGTTTTCTATACATCGAGGGACGACTAACGAAAAACAAACCACCAGCTGAAGGAGAAAATGAAGTGATAATGGGAAATAATTGCGTCGCATTCATGTTCGACGAGATTCGATACGAACTCGACGGTGTTGAGATTGATCGCAATAGAAACGTAGGAATAACTACTACGCTCAAAAACTATGTAACGGTATCATCCGATAGAGACACGATTTTGAAAAATGCTGGCTGGGAGCCGTTTACCTACACGAATGGACATTTCAATTTTTGCGTACCGCTCTACATGTTGCTGGGATTTTACGAGGATTACAGACGCGTGGTGATTAACGCTCGTCACGAATTGATCTTGATACGATCGCGCAACGACAACAATTGTCTGCATGGAAATTCGGCGCAGGAGCTTGTGATCGACATATTCAAGATACAATGGCGAATGCCTCACGTGCTGTTGAGCGAAATCAAAAAGTTGTCAATGCTGCGTGCTCTGGAAAGCGGACGATATCTCAGCATGGCTTTTCGCTCGTGGGATCTGTACGAGTATCCGCTATTGCAGCTTACAACCAAGCATTCGTGGGCCATTAAGACTGCGACTCAGCTAGAGAAACCACGATACGTTATCTTCGCTCTGCAGACAGGTCGGAAGAATGTCATGTCTAAGGATACGAGTGAATTCGACCACTGCAAATTGATCAACGTTAAACTTTATCTGAATTCGGAATATTATCCGTACGACGATATGAATCTGGATTTAGATAAAAACAGATATTCCATTCTGTATGATACGTACACACGCTTCTGCAAGAATTATTACGGATACGAGTATCTCGAGCCGAGTCTCAACGTCCTGAAGTTTCTACAACACGGTCCGTTCGTGATTATCGATTGTTCTCGACAAAACGAATCGGTCAAGAGCGCGACCGTGGATGTGAGATTGGAATTCGAGTGTAAGGAGAACGTGCCGCCACTGCGTACTGCCTCATCATACACGATCGCGTGATCCAGTACAATCCGTTGACCAACGTTGTACGCAAAATCACCTAGGCGATAACATCGACAGAAGAGAGAGGGGGAAGAGGAGCATGATATAAATCAAAGTCTTGCGAGATGGTTTTAGAGTTTTGTCGTTCCTCTCGACTGGCGTATCGAAGAGAGAGAGATCTCGTCATGTCCATACCAACGTTTGTGGATCTGCAAGGATTTATCGTTGGGAAAAATTTTGTCGTGAAGGAAGCGGCAGTCTTGAAAAAGAGATGTTCTATCGCATTACTTTTTCGCAAGTCCCGTACCGTGGCACACGCTTACAAAATCTGAGCGATGTCAAGTCTCATGGCTGATTAGAAATCATCACGGATTACAATGGGAAGACGGAAACGTTCCGTATGGCTTGGCTCAGCGTGCGATTACAACAGCTGTCGTTGGTGCGATACATGAAGAAGAAGAAGAATCGTCTGTCGTGTACGTCAAAGGACTTGAAAAGCAAAAATGGCTGGCCGATATATTAGACGATGCGGGGAACGGCTATATTATTGAAACCTTGGATGCGGATTACGAAGATATGGATGCTCTAAATAAATTAGATGATACGAATAGTATGCGATGCGGAAAACATGTTAAGAATTGCGCATTACAAAATGTATTCAAAATATTTAATTGGTGGTCGCGACGCCAGAAAGAATTGCGAGAAAAATAAAATATGTAAACATTAATATGCGTTATCTCTCTTATTTCCCCACCCTAATCCTTTGCATGCATTTCTAAGAATTCTTTTGTTCGAGCGCCGCCTCCCTTTTATCCTAAATTCCAATACATTGATCCCCCACCACTACATTATACTTTTGGTAGATGAGCGTCGGGTATAACCGATTAATTCCTGTAATTCCGACCAGTGTCGCGTTAACCGCTCGTGGATTCACTTTTCATAACCTCCCAGAGAAATGTACTACGTTGAAAGAAGCAGCAGCGGCATCGGAAGACACGTGAATAATTACGTGCCGAGTCGTGATAAAACTCCATCGTTTGAGAACAAATACGACGAGTAAGTTTCGTTTAATATTTTTTTTCTATTTTTCTATTTTTCTATTTTTACAAATTGTATTATTAGTATTACTTAATTTTAATTTTTCCCGTAGCATTTCGTCGGAGCGTCGTGCGGTTCGTATACTAGGCAGACGATACGCATTGACAGCTACGGAATTCAAATTCCTCGAAATCGGTATCAACGTGGGTCCGCCGAGTTACGTGGAGATTGTCATAGGAGATCATCGAGGAAAGGGACTGATATTATCTCTCGAAACGTGGAAGGGACTCTGCGAGCAACGTCGCAATATTCTAAATCTCCTTCGGAACGACTCTCACGACATGTATAATTTTATAAGCGTTGGACCGCTAACAGTGCGAGTTCGTACGATTAACGACGCCAAATTCATAAGTCTCGTATCTTCGAACGTATGCATGATGATGGTCGAATCGACGTTACATCGTATGTTCGATCTCGATGATTGCATAGATGTAACTTTTGATCGATTGAATAAAGTGATAGAGACAGTCGATGTCAAATTTACGCATTCTCCAATATCGCGTCCACTGTAACAGATCCTAAAGAAGTATCAAATGTAATACGCGCGAGTGACGCTTTCAACAAGCATCAACTCGTCGATTGCGAGCTGGCGGCTTTAGCTTTTAGTCCATATAATATGTAAGACAAAAAATATATAAAAACTTGAATAAATAGTTTTAAGTTTACTATATCGTTGTGTACTTTCTTTGCGTTTGCCCATCCCAGCTTTCATGCATAGCTCCTCGCGAGAGAGAGAGTTATCATGAGAGAGCAAACACTAGGAAAGAAAGAGAGATAAGGATACGTCGAACGAAAAAATCTAAAATTACTTATATCGGGGGTGAGGGGTGTACCGCGAAAGCGCTGATATACGAGCGGTGGAAGCAAGGGTACAAAGCAGCCAAACATCGGCGCTGATACGTTAAAAATTCTTCCGAGAAAAAATCGTGAAAGACGATTCTGAGGTACTATTTGTTTATATTATTTATCAACCGGGCATGCGACACAATATTGTTTATACTTTCGATAAATATATGGGACCGCGCGTACTTTTTACGAGGCGTTTACGACGATATGGCGATAATGTCACATCTCTATTATACGATCTCGTTTCGAGATCTCGCTACCTTGTCAGAAAGAATTTGGCAGTGCGCGAGTCGAGAAATCAAAAGTGAAGAAATCGAAAGTGAAGAAGTGAATATTTTTTCATATTACAACAATGGAGCTGCAAACACGTATAGACGAATGGAGGTGCATAATCAACCTTTTCCGAGATGACAACAATAGTGCTATGGAAAAATCGAACACTAAACAGATGTCGATAACACAATATGTGCGCGATCGAGAATTAGGCATACGAGGTATGCGTAAGCAACGTTTCGTCAGACAAGCCGAGGTTAATATGTACGAGAATGGGTATATCGAATGGCCTGATCATGTACAACTGAAAATTTTTCGTGAAATTCGGAAGACACACTTCTCAATTGATGTATACGATGATGATGATTACTCTTATTTCGGCAGTAAACGTAAAATTACTCGAATCATAGACTCAGAAGATGGTTGGCAATACCAATGTATTAGACGCAATAATTGCGATCAAATATTTGAATATGAAGACCATGTTTACATATATAAAAATGTCGATTACAGTTGGGTAGATAGGTGTATCAATGACTGCACATACACGCCGTGTATAAATATACGTATCCCAACGGGCATAAACCAAACGTATATAGATTTAATAATCTGGAATGATTTTTATCATGATATTGAATATGATGATTTTAGAAAATGCATTGCTGGTAATCATCATAAATTATTATATATAACGCGGTATTGTACACAATGTCAATCTCGTAAATGTAAATGTCCGCCTGAAATTATATACAAAAAGTATGCATATCAAAAGAAAAAACAACAGGAAGGGAATGTACAGGTAATGGATAATTTTTGCTAATATAATTACGAAATTAATTTAAAATATTCAAGTAATTATTTTTGGGTGATTTTTTTTTGTAGGAGAATGTTTCAGGAGAGATGAGAAATCTGAATGGAGATCAGAATGGAGAACAAAATAATCTGAATGGAGATTTAAGTAGAAATCGTAATGACGATTGTTATGTAAATTTTGATGAGCTATGGGCACTCTATAATATAATGGATTAAATTTTATATTTTTTCTTATTATTTTATACTTATTATTTTATTAGTCATACACATTTTATTAAATTTTATATTTTTAATTGGAAAAAAAATGTATTTATTTACAGACCTCTTCTTGCGTTCCCATCCCTGCGCTAGTTATGTATAAGTATCGTTCTCTCGCACGCGTTCTCCTCGCGCCATCGCTCCCTCTCCCTCGCACTCGTTCTTCTCGCACGCGATGCATTTCAAAGAAATGCAGATGTTTATATTGTTTATCAACCGGGCATGCGACACAATATTTCATATACTTTCGATAAATATATGGGACCGCGCGTACTTTTTACGAGGCGTTTACGACGATATGGCGATAATGTCACATCTCTATTATACGATCATAATCTCAATTCAAAAATGCTGATGTTTATATTATTTATAAACTGAACATGTCCGTACGCGCAATACTATTTATCAGCCGGGCATGTAATATAATATTACCATAAAACATCTAACACGCGCCGCCGCCGAAATCCCACCCGCGTGACGTCATTCCCCCGCGCCTATGTAATCCCCCGCGCGCCTCACCCCCCCTGAGAGGACCTGGGTTAGAACTCTCCTATATATCCTACTCTTGACTCCGGTGGGATGATGATGAGATGCCGTTCGTCGTGAGACAGGATGGCGTTCTTCAGTCGTCCTCCGACTCGCATTACACCGCTGTCGTCGAGGAACGGACTCAGCTTGGTGAGAGAACTTCTGGGTGGCAAGACGCGTCCTTTGCTGAGTGCTGTGATCTCGCCGAGGAAGTGCAGAGTCTGTGTGGTGCGAATCCAGCGAAGGAGTGCGTCTTCGATCTCGCAAGACACGAGTGAGAGTGCGGCGTCAGCGGTGGTGCGAAATCTCCGGGTGCCGGTCCGTCGAAGACACCAGGCTGTCACTCTGAGCAGTCGGTACAATGACGAGAAACGGAGCAGGAAGGCCGACTCGGAGACGTCCTTGACAGCCGCCGAGAGTGAGGCGACGGCTCTTTGCTCCGGCACAGCAGTGTTCAGCAGGGCGCCGTCGTTGTTCGGCCACCTTGCTTGGTCCTCTAAAAGCCAGGATGGTCCCGTCCACCACAGAGGATGACCGACCAGGTCGCTGGGCAGAACTCCTCGGGAGGCGCAGTCAGCTGGGTTGTCCTTGCCCGGCACATGTCGCCATCGCGCCTCGGGTAGCCGCTCCTGGATCAGCGACACTCTGTTGGCCACGTAGGTCTTCCAGCGGGAGGCGTGTCCGTGGATCCAGTGAAGAGTGACCCTGGAGTCCGACCAAAGGAAGACTGGAGCTGAGGACAAACTTAGCAGAGTGCGCGTGTGAACGACGAGGTTCGTCAAGAGGGCGGCCGCGCATAGCTCGAGTCTCGGCAAGGACACGGGCTTCACGGGCGCGACCTTGCCCTTAGCGGTCAGCAGGTGGAGTGTGATGCCCCTTCCAGTGGAGGAGCGGAGGTACACCACGGCGGCGTACCCTCGCTCCGATGCGTCGGCGAATCCGTGTAGTTCGACGTGTGAGTGCGGACCGTCGCTACCGAGCCAACGAGATACCTTTATCTCGTTGAGGCGCGGAAGTTGCGAGAACAGGTTCCTCCAAGCGAGCGTGTCCGGTGATGGAAGTGGAGTGTCGATCTTCTGGAGCCAGGCGGACTGGATTAGGATCTTGGCCCGCATTGTGACCGGGGTGATCCAGCCGAGAGGATCGAACATTCGTGCGGTTTCGGACAGGACACGCCGTTTTGTTAGTTCGTCGAAGTGACGTGTCGGTTGGGAAAATGTGAAGTGGTCACTGGCCCGGTGCCAGTGAAGACCCAGTGTTGTGTGACTCTCGTGTGACCACGAGTGAGGTGAGTGGGTCAGCCGGTGCTCGTGCGGAACGCCGTCCAGGATGCTGAGGTGGTTGGCCGCCCATTTCCGAAGAGGAAACCCGCCCGCCATGCAGAGGCTGCGGAGCTCCCGTTGCGCTGCGGTGGCCTCCGAGAGGGTGCTCGCGCCGGTCACGACGTCGTCCACGTAAGTATCGCGGCGCAGCGCGACAGCTCCTTGCGGAAATCGGTGACCTTCGTCGTCGGCGAGCTGGTGCAAGGTCCGTATGGCGAGGAATGGCGCGCACGCCAAGCCATACGTGACTGTTCGCAAGCGGTATTCGCGGATGTCGTCAACGGCACGGTGCCGCCAAAGTATCCGCTGATGATCGCAGTCGTCTGGATGAACGAGAATTTGGCGGTACATTTTCTCGATGTCCGCCAAGAAGACGTAACGGTGCCAGCGCCAGCGCAGGAATACGTCGGCGAGAACTGGCAAGAGGTTGGCACCAGTCAGCAGACTGGTGTTGAGTGAGGTGCCCGAGGTCGTGAGCTGTGAGCCGTTGAACACGACCCTGAGCTTAGTGGTGGTGCTCGTTTCTTGCAACACTCCGTGATGCGGTAAGTAGCCCCTTGCAGTATCTTCTTGTTGTGATGATGTGGTTACAGCTTCCATGTGTTGCAGGTCTTCGTAGTCCTTCATGAAGCTGCGGTAGAAGTTGTCGAATCGAGCGTCCTTGTCGCAGCGGCGCTCCATGGCATGGAGCAAACGCTCGGCCGGCCGACGGGTTCCTGACAGAGAGGGTGGAGCTCCGGAGAAGGGAAGCCTCACAATGTAACGTCCGGCGTGAGTGCTCGCGGACGAAGATGTCCTCGCATCTTCTCTCCTCCGGGGTAAGAGCGACGGGAGCGGTATGCTCCTTCTCCTGCTCCCAGAAGAGCTGCACCAAGTCGGTCAGCTGGCGGTCTATAGTGCATTGGTGAGCGGCATGGCTACCCTGGGTCGTGGCTCGGTGTCCTCCCGACAGAATCCACCCGAGGGAGGTCTTCTGCGCGATGGGCTCGTCTTTGCATCCCTTGCGGAGTCCATCTTGAAGGATGGCGGAATAGACATCCGCACCGAGCAGTATCTCGATTGAATCTCGGTCTAAATATTGCGGATCGGCCAGAGAGAGACCGCGTATGTGGGGCCAGATGACGCTGGCTCGCACGATGGGCCCCTGGTAAGAGGAGAGATGCGGCAGAACGTACGCCTGGACGGGGAGCGTTGCTCCAGTTATTGCCGAGGAGAGCGCCAAAGACAGCCGTCCGCGGGTTGCTCCAGAGGCTCCTCCGATCCCGGCTATCGTCATCGAGGAGCGGATCCGCGGCAGGCGCAATCATTGTGCCAGGGCCTCTGAGACTAGAGAGATCTCTGATCCTTGGTCGATCAGTGCTCGGATGTCGTGCGGTCTTCCCACGTGGTCCTTGATAGTGACCCGTGCGGTGGCAAGAAGAATTGCCTTGCGGTCTGATGCGAAGCGTGTGGTGGACAAGGAAATCGCACCATCAGATTGCGAGTATGCGTCGTGCAGAAGCGTGTGGTGGCTTTGCAAGTGAAGCACGTTTTCGACGACTGACATTTTGCCAGGTAATGGTTGCCGAGGCAATTGAAGCACAATCTGTTTGCTTCTACTAGGCCTTTTCGCTCAGCAGCGGTCTTGGCCTTGAACGTCGAGCATTGCATAATCGAATGCTTTTCTTTACAGGCGGCGCACGTTGACGAACCGGATGCGCGTTTTACAAAGTGCGACTTTGCGGACCGAGAAGTGTCTCCGGATTTCGCGGCAGTGGTTGGCTGCACGGCGTTCAGCGTGAGGATCTGCTTCGCTATGAAGTCCATAAGGACGTCGTTGCTCGGCGGGTCGACGGAATCGCGGATTGAGGGAGCACTCCCACTGTATTCGAATCTGTGGGTCAAAGCGCTCGACGAGCAAGTAATTGAAGAGGTCCATACCGTGCGTGCCGATGAGCCTTTCAATGCTCTCCTGAGCATTGATGGCAGTCGTGGCGGCGTTATAAATTCGGTTCAACTCGTCAGCGGTCGCGTTCTTCATTTTAGGCACGGCGGTGTAGGCAGCGAAGTTGGCGCGAATGAGCTCTCGCTTGTTCTCGTAGTGAGAACTTAAAATTGACCACGCCCTGTCATAATTGCTCCCGACAATCGGCAATGATTTAATTAGTTTTTCCGCAGGACCCTGTAAGCTCGTACGGAGATAGTGGAGCTTTTCCACGTCGGAAATGGATGTATTGCTCCCGATGATGGACAAGAAGATGTCGCGAAACGCGGGCCAATCACTGTATGCACCGGAGAACGACTGGAGCTTAATTCGCGGCAGCGAGGTCTTGAGCGTCTGCTCTTGGTGAGCCTCAACCTTGGGCGTAGTGAACGACTCGCCCTTGAGTTTGTTCGCGTATTCGACCAGCATGCTCCTTTGTGTCACGTAGGTAGTTTCCGCGATATCAATAAAATCATTCTTTGCGTACTCACTCTCAAGATATTTGTCTTTCAGCACCGCTACAATGAGGTCATGATGGGCCTCGAATCTGGTCCACAGCGTGTCGAGAATGCGGAGGCGAGCCTGAATCGCTTCGGCGGTAATGCTCGAGACGCCCATCTTGCGCAGATTGTCCACGGAGCGAGACATTCGTCCGTGGATGTCGTTCTGCGCCTCCAACAGTGCCTTTAGATCTGCACATGATCACTATTCAGTTTCAGATTCACGCACTATGTCACAAGATTCACCCACGAACTGCTGATGCGGATAAAAAATCCGGCTCGAAGGACCAGAAAATGTTCGCGAATGAGTTATTCGAAACGAGAGGCGCGACAGAAAAGGTCTTGAACTCGGACACTGCACAATTGAGAAAAAAACAAGCCACGACACGTATGATTTTTTTTGTACTTTTGATAGTTTTATTTTTAACATCACACGATGAATAAAGTTTTACACAAAATATATATATTTTTCAGAACTCGAAAAATATTGCCGAAATTAGTTCAAGTCCGTAATCGAGAGGAAAGTCCGAGTGAAAAAAGCGGTCGAGTAATACTGCGGTTTGCGAAGCGATTTACAATAAGTGCGGTTTAGCGAAAAGTGCGAGACTTCGCCTTGTCTACGCGTGGGGCCCGTTATATACCGGGCAGATTTTTGGGCCCGTGTCGACGTGGCCCAATTAACTTTGTATTTTGGCGGTGACCTCAGGGCGCTGCGCGTCATTGGCCGCCGATGAGATCTACCGCTGACAATGAGTTAATTGTCATGCGCGCGATCTTTTTAGATCGGCTGATTGGTGATCAGCTGATCGTGACGCATGGGCGCGCATGCCCGTAAACTATACAGTTTTCGGCGACCGTTGACACTGTTATTGTCAACGGCAGAGACAAACGTTTTTTGCGGTGGCAACAAAATAGAGATAACTCGAACGATCGGTTTTTTTTTTATAAATAGAAACGTCGAGAAGATTCTCGACGTCCGTTAATTTGAAAAATTTCGATTTTCAGTAATAATGAGCTGAGATGATATGCATGCGAAATATGAATTTCAAACAAACTTCGAGCTGAATAATTAGCTTGGTTTTGCTTTTTCCGAAAGGACGGGGAATGGACTTCATGAACCATCACGACAATATACTATATAACGCCATTAGATTATTGTCAAGTACGTATTTTATGTCAGGATTCCAAATTTCGACGAAATGATTACTTATTTTATTCGTTATGGAATATTATCGAACTCGGCCAAATATTTGCGTTTGTCTTAGATAGATTAAGGCAAGGAAATACTATTCCTGAAAGTCTTGTACAAAATTTGCGTATTAATATGAGAGCTTTACGTGGCTCTTATTGACAAACAGCATATAGTGGTTTAATTGCTATGGTTCGTAATTTTCGGCCCACTACAATGGTTTTTAACATTAAGTTGCAACGATCTTAATTGAAAAGACATATTGAAAGCATGTCTTATTGCAGCTGGAAGAAAAGGGAAAAATATAAATAACTTGCAATTTGATGAAAAATAACGATTAATTGTTGAGCATCTGGTAACATTATCTCGTCATTTTATGGTTCGTGTTCATGCTATCGTGTATTGCAAAATGATGAGACTTTGTTAGGTGGAAAATTAATAGATTTCTGGTAGAGAGTAGAATTTCAAAATAGAGATAGTCCACACTAACATATGCTATGTTGGAATGAAGGAATTCCATCATTCGAGGGTCCAGATGGTATTGCTCTTATTGATAAGATTGTGTCGTGCACATCTCTTACAAGAGATAATGAATTAGATGCACTCATAGCACGGGTTCAAGTGCATAAACATACTAGTACGTGTTATGAAGATAGACAACGGACAATGTCGATTTGGTTTTCCTAGAAAAATTAGTGACATAACAATGTTGCTTGGACCAGATGAAGCTATTTGTAATAATGGACGTTTTTGTATATTAAAGCGCAACTCTATAGATATTTATATCATTAATTATAATCCTACACTCCTTAAATTATGGGGTGGTAATATTTGCAATCTTATGGAAGTGTTACGCGTATAGTCTATTATATAGCTAAATATGCAGCTTAACATGAATCTCACAATGTTGGTCAAGCAATAAAAATGCAATTATAATATATAAAGTGCAGAGGTATGATGAAGACATAGGAAAGCAATCATTCAATATATCAATGATTATACTTCGACATAGGCAGGTATCTACTTGTGAATGTGCATTTCGTTTATGTCATTTACGTGATAGTTCACGAAAAGTTGTTTTTGTAAACACAACTGTTTTCTACAAGAACGTTATCGTATGTTTACATTGCGATTGTAACATATATATATAAGGCTAACTTGTGAATAAGAGACACACCGATAATAATATTAAAAGTACTTTATTGCACGGTACTGTTACACGGTTTTTTCTTAGGATTTTTAACTGCTTGAAATATCTGTCCAACAAGAAGACAAAGGAACAATGGACCCGTCCAATGGCCCCGAGTGGACTCGTCCTCGCGCCCCGTTAGTGTCAGTCAATTCACGAAAGAGTGTATTGCTATCCCTACTCTACATTATTTTTAACATTCCTCCCACAGGGAAAAAAACTATTGGGTTGTTCAAAAAGTCATTGCGTTTTTTTCCAATAAATAGCGCTATCCACGTTTATTTATATCTGAGCGTGACATGAATGCCAAATATTTATGCGCATTTTGTTGTTGACACTTAACCTAAAAACCAAAATAAAAGTTGACGCAATTCGGTCGAGTTTTGTGCTTGCAATTGTGGTTTAAACATGGAGAATTTTGAAGAGCATATTCGCCATATTTTGCTTTATTACTTCAAAAAAGGGAAGAAAGCAACTGAAGCAAGGGAAGAGTTGCGTCAAGTTTACGGCAGAAATGTCATCGAAAAACGTCAGTGCCAGAACTGGTTCGCCCGATTCCGTGGTGGTGATTTTTCAGTTAAAGACGCTCATCGCTCCGGTAGGCCTTCCGAGATTGATGACGATAAAATTAAGGCATTGGTGCAAGCAAATAAGCATTCAACGGTTCGGGAGCTTGCTACCGCTTTAAAAGTGTCCATTGGAAGTGTTCATGGCCATTTGAAATCGCTTGGTTTCGTGAAGAAGCTCAATGTTTGGGTACCGCATCAGTTGAAAGAAATTCATCTGACGAAGCGTATGAACGTCTGCGATCAACTCACCAAACACGAAGAAAACGATCCGTTCTTGAAGCGTATGATCACGGGCGACGAAAAATGGATTGTCTACAACAATGTGAGCCGAAAAAGGAGTTAGAGTAGGCGAGATGAAGCACCGGAAAGGCAAGCAAAGGCGGACATCCACCAAAAGAAGGTGATGCTGTCAATCTGGTGGGATTGGAAGGGACCAGTCTTCTATGAGCTGCTTCCAAAGAATAAAACGATTAATTCCGATGTCTACTGTGAGCAGCTACAGAAATTAAGTGATGCCATCGCACAGAAACGTCCCGAGCTGATCAATCGTAAGGATGTGGTGTTTCACCACGACAATGCGAGACCACACACAAGTTTGGTCACTCGCCAAAAATTGTTGCAGCTTGGTTGGGATGTGTTGCCATATCCACCATATAGCCCAGACCTTGCGCCATCAGACTTCCATTTATTTCGCTCCTTGCAAAACTCCTTGAATGGTAAAACGTTTGCTTCTGAAGACCTCATCAAACAGCACCTTGACAAGTTTCTCGCAGAGAAAGATAGGAAGTTTTATGAACGCGGTATTATGAAGTTACCCGAGAGATGGCAAAAGGTTATTGAACAAAACGGCCAATATATTATTGATTAATGTTCATTACGTATATTAAATAAACGCACCTGAAAATCAAATGAAAAAACCGCAATAACTTTTTGAACAACCCAATAGTATCCGATTTTATCCGGTATCTTTATACATCGTCCGCTCCTAGTATGAACGATGTTCGAAGTAGGTTGCGGAGTAGATTCCTTCTGGTTCTCCTTAATCTGCATTGAGTCGTCTATGTTTGACTCTGACGTATCCGACATTTCCAAAGGATATAGATGCTGAATGGGCCGTACTAATTCTCCGCTGGCGGTTTTTACCTTAGCTACCCGTACGATACCATCTTTACCTGGAAAAATTTTGCTTATTTGACCAATTTTTGCTTATTTGGCCAATCTAAACGCTTACGATTATCCTGGCCGACTAAGACGATATCTCCAATTTTTACTGGAACATTGTAGCTCTTTGTTATCCGCCGTGCTAGTTGTCCTAAATATTCAGAACGGAAACGTTTACATACTTCATTACGCAAGCTTTGACAATATCACATCCGCTTGTTCAGATTAACGTCTATCTTATCCAAATCAGATACATTACTCCGAAGAGTTTCTCGTAGAAACATCATTGGCGTTAACGCCATGTTTTTAATTGTGTTGGATCCTCTGCCAAGTAGGACAACGGACGAGAGTTAATGACAGCCTCGATGTCGCATAAAATAGTATTCATCTCTTCAGGATAGACACCGCTCTCTTCAATGTCCGTTTCAACAGGTCTTTTACTATTCTTACCAGACGTTCCCACCATCCTCTCCACCAAGCTGCTGAAGGAGAATTGAGACGGCAGTCTTTTTTTTGACTTGTGCTGAATTGTTGAATTTCTTTCCAATTAATCTTTTTAAGTAGATTACGTGCTCTTATGAAATTTGTCCCATTGTCTGTGTAAATTACGGAAGATTTTCCTCGTCGTGTGATAAATCTGCGTAAAACTTGCAGAAAAGCTTCAGTAGAAAGAGACGTCGTGAGTTCCAAATGGATCGCTCTATAAATAGCGCAAGTAAATAGACAAATCCAAGCCTATTGTGCTTTTTTAAGAAACAAAGGCCCGATATAATCGATCCCTGTGACTTCGAAAATATTTACTTCCGTAACACGCTCATGTGCTAAACAACCGAGACTAGCATCTGCTTTTTTGACTTTGTATCTTTTGCATGTCCAACAATCATTTATCGTACTGCTGTTCTGTAGGTGAGAATTCAAAATGTTTCTAGCAAATCATTCATTACAACCTGGATTCCCGCGTGATGAAGTTGTTGATGTCTGTACTGGATTAACATTTTAGTTAAAGGATGTTTAGGATCTAACACAATGGGACATCGAAAGTTATACTCATCATCACGATTAATTACTGGTGACTTTAGACGTATTAATCCACATTCATCCTTGAATGTATCTAAAGTATTGAATCGTGGTTCATTCTCGTTAAACGATTCTCCTTATGATAACTTTAAAACTACAAGCTCCGCATCGACGAATTTTTTTCAATTCTCCTGAGATTCTTACAGCTTGCTGAGCTCGACAATTAACCATGAAACGTTGGATCCAAGCCATGGTTCTTACTATTCTTAGATATCTAGATTGTCCTTTCATGTATCATCCTATTTCTTCTTGTGTGATGGATATAAGCGACTTCTATATTATTATTAGAAATCTTTTTTTTCGATACGCTGATTTTTTAATCTCGCTGTTTTCCTCTTTGTTCTCAATGTCATCAGATGAGAGCCATTGATCCGCAGGAAGTTTCAGCCAAGTTGAACCTTCCCACCATAGAGATTCTACTAAGTGTTTAGCTCCACATCTTCTTGAAGGTAGATCAGCCAGGTTCATGGATCCCGGTACATGACGCCATTTGTTAGGATCAGATAATGAACGTATCTCTCTTACTCGGTTCTCAACGAATGTGTTCCATAGCTTGTCTTTCCGTATCCACGCCACAACTGTACTCGAATCAGATCAAAAGAAAACTTCTTCGAAATCTCCAGCTTCTTTTATTGAGCGTATCTTACTCCTATAGTAGCAGCCAACAATTTCAGATGAGGTATCGTTATTCTTTCAATAGGTGATATCCTGGATCTTGCTTGAATAAGTTGTATATTGCGACGTTTTATTCAATTAAAATTATTAATTTCGCAATACTCCTCAGGGTGTTAAGAAGGAGAGTGCGAAGGGGAGCGAAAACGCCGTCAAAAACATAGTGAATATAGTATACTCGCGCTCGAGGGAACAGGGATGGAGGGTGTTCGCGCGCGAGCCGCGGTGAAGCGAAAGCCGTCTCGACATCTCGAAGTTGGGCGTCAGATGCGGTCTTTCACGCATCAATTTTCGCTAAACGCCTCAGAACACGAAAAACGATAGCCTGCTTCGCCACGGGCCGACTAGTTCGCCTAACGGTAGAGGGGCAGTGTCTTGGAAAAAGTCAATTGATTATGCAAGACTTCGCTAATTCGACATTCGACAGACAAAACGAAAATCGACAATCACGAGAGACTAACACTCAAATAAATTACGCGAACTTAATAAAGACATATAACAAATTTATTAATAGGAAAATAATATAAAAATAAAATTAAATAACAAATCCGAGTAAGAATATTCACAATAAATTCAAAGATATGAGAAAACGCAATACATAATAGATCAAATCAATAGAGGTAGTAATAATAATAATCCAATCAAATCGAATGTTCGCTCGAAATCGACAACCTAAGAGAGCGCATTTCTGTTATTTACCCGAGCCCGTTTTTATGGCCGGAGTTCGCCAGACCGAACAATATTTCCAAAATGTAACGGAATTTCGACACCTATATCGACGTCTTATCGTACCTTATCTTTTTCCTCGTAATTTCTCAACTCGCTATTCCAATTGACAGCAGAAGGGTTTGACAGCGTGACTAAAAATCGAGCGAGAATAATTACTGATTTTGCGAAAATAGATCTCGTCTGCGACCGGCGAGCGATACGGTCGATATTCGATAGCTGACGGGGGCCGGAGATTTTTCTCTCCCTGCGTTTCACCTCTTTTCTCAGCGCAACCAGCTCAAATTTCGATAACAGTTGAATTTTTCGGCGATTATCTCGCACCGCAACACATTCGACAAACGATAATCATTACAAAATGCGCGCTACTCATTGACATAATGAGCGCGACAAAGACGCAAATACTTATAATACTCTCACACTTATAATACTAGACGCTCACACGCACACTTAATAATCGATTACACAAACGCAATTAGACACGAAAATCGTCCGTGGATCGTCTGCGAGGATGTTTTACGCGGCAACGACAGCGACACGACAACACGGGCGGCATACACGCTTTCCGCGATTTTTAGCGCACGCGGTCGATGTTCGGCGGTCGATAACTACGCGTGTTTAACATCCCGAAACCCGGAGAGAGACGAACGATACCCTATCAATTAATGCCTACGTCACGACTGCCCGCGATACCTCGATCGTTTGTCTCCGGTCGCCAGAAATACGACAGCTCGGCACAAGGCCCGAGCGGCAGCAAAACACGAAAATGGTGACGGCGACAGAACGGCCGGTCGGCGGACCGAATCGCGTACGTGGCTTACAAAAGATAGGCAACCTCACCGATATGTGTCTTCGAGCAGGGAGGTGCCGTTCTCTCCTTGATCCCGCCAACGACAACGACTAGCACAATGCGACAACTATTACGACTTTTCAACTGATTGCGTCGAGCGCCCGCACCAGAGTGAGTCCCTAGATCGGGAGATCCAGGGTCGATAGCTGCGTCAATGACCGCGTGCAGAAGTGCGCAGTTCCGCGGTAAATCGCGCCGCGACACGCGCGATATCCTTGCGCCTCGCGATACACGAGGTATTCCTGCGCCCTGCGCGAAACGGTCTCGAATATTCAAATTCTGCTGTCATGGGCCCCGGTTTTCATGATCCGGTGGAGGCCCATCTAACCCCACCACCCCGTTCTCCACCCCTGGAAAGTAATGCCGATTGGGCCTTCGTCCTCCTTTATACGACGAGGGGCGATGTTTACCCGTGGCATCCCGGAGCTCGATTATTCGGGCGCTATTTCCTCCTCCGCTCGCCGGCGGGGAGCGCCGTGTCGCAGGCCGTTTCATGAAATCCCTCGACGTTTCATGAAATCCTTCGCCTTCCGGATGTTCTTCGGCGGGTTGCCCGACATTTCATTAATACAAAAAAATACAAAAGTTAATAAATCGCAAAATACAAAAGTTAATAAGTCGCAAAATACAATAAAACCGCTCGTCTCTCCGGGGAGTTCGATATTGTTCTCGCAATCTGACTTCTAGCGCGGCCGCTCGGCCCGCGCCCCGTCAAAGTTGCCGGGGCGGATGGACGCGCGACAAGATGGCAACGTCATAATATATATGTTCTCTCGAGTTTCTGTCCTCGCAAAAACGGCAACTGCGTATGCATCTTGACTAGCATCTACGAACACATGAAAAGACAGTTTACATTG